GTGAGACATGCTCGCAAGTACATAAACTGTGACTGCAGTGTTGTGTATGAGATACCGCTCTCATGTGAAAACGTTTCTGTGGGCCAGAAAGGAGACTAAATTACAAATAGCGCTAAGACAAGGACAGAAGTGGACAGGGCAGGCGCTAACTCACAACTGACGGTTTTATATACAACGATAAAGAAGAAAGTGAAGGAAGTGTCTGGTTTTGAAAAAAAAAGTAATAAGTCTATTTCTAGCCGGTGCGCTCTAAGAAGATCGTTAGACTAAAAAGACTAAAGCACTGTAGCCGATACATGCATCGCATACATATCTAACAATCGTCTTATAGCGCCCCGGCTAGAAATATACTTATTTCTTCTTTTTTCAACACCAGGCACTTCCTTCAGCTTCTTCTTTATCGTTGTATATAAAACCGTCAGTTGTGAGTTAGCGCCTGTCCTGTCCACTTCTTCGTCTGTCCTTTTCTTAGCGCTATTTGTAATTTAGTATGTATAACCAACTTGTCCGCCAGATTATTTTGATCCGGAAAGGACGATGCGTCAACATCAGGGTCCGAGAGCATAAACATTCTCTGAAACCCTCGCCGTCAGGTCACTTAGCCTTACAGGTAAGGGACTGTGGATGAGCCCCGTCGTTCGCTAGCGCATAAATTCTGAGGCGGTTCCACGACAAAAGAACTAGAGAAATTTACGAAGTCCAGGCCACCACAGCAAGAAGCGAATCCCGCATAAGCGCGCCATCAGTGAACTTGTCACCCAAGGAGCTACGATACCTTCTTATTTAATTTTAAAATATAATTTTACATTTATATTTACCTTTTAATTTTTTGTTAACTATTTTTTTTAAATTTTAGCTCAGCCATCCTTCTAAATCCTTTTCTTTTTTCATTTCTTGAAATATAAACTTACCTTCGAACTTTCCTTTCTTTATTGTTTCATTAAAACGGCAGTTGAAAGTAGCGCTTGTCCTGTCCTGTCCTCCCTTGTCCTTCGTCTTTCGCGCCAATATTTTATGATGTCGATTCCAGTTGAAACCGAAACAAAACGAAAACTGATGTCACATTACCGTTTTTAAAAAGGCAAATGAAATTATATTGTCAGGATGATGCTGTCGGCAGTATAGGGGACAGGACAGGTGATGACAAAAAGACAGAATGATTTATAGAAGCCGAGCAGGCCCGTGGGGCTTGGCGCGTGATGGTCGCGCTCACCGATGCCCCGTCGTCGTTTTCATCTTCCTAGCAGTACTCCCTCCGACGAAAACGGCCGACCCAGCCCGTGAATAAGAAGACATAGACCACACTCACAAGGACACACATGGAAGAACAAAGAACGGCTGCCGACAGCGAGAGTGGGGATGAAGATGGAGACGTTGCATTTCGACCTCTTCCATAGAGTCGCAGACCTCTTGTCCAGCTTCAGTCGCTGGACGGCACGGTCCAGGCTGGGGGACTCATCTTAAGAAGTGCCGGAACGTCGGGGGCTGGGGAAAGGGGCGGGGGATTCTCGGTCAACTTTGTCTGATTCGGCTTCGTCTGATTCGGCTTGTCATGGCGTCTGGGCGGGAACTGGGCGACGAAGCCATGGGCTGGTGTTCGGTCTGGGGATGCGGATGACTTCCTAAACGACGCGAGACGGCAGTATTAGAGCGGCGACGATGTTGAATGTAGGGGATGAGGATGACTCTGCACCTCCACCATGTTAGGATGATGCTGTCGGCAGCATAGAGAACAGGACAGGGGCTCGCAAAAGATTGAATGATATATGGAGGCCGAGCCCGCCCTTGGAAAACCGCCTTCCTTTCAACCTGTCGAAATGCTGCTCCATGACCATCTCTCCGCAACGATCTTTTCTTCCGTCCTGTGGCTTCCAGACAAGGCGTTTTCTCCTAAAACAAGTCGCCATAATGCATATTCTGGGTGTGTGCATCGACCATCGCCTCCACTTTGGAGAACAAGTCTCATCGTTCCCTGCAAGAGCTCGCCGCCTTCTTGGCTTTGTGTTCCGGGTAGCCCGGGGAACGAGCCTCGCAGCCTTTCGGGATTTGTACACGGACCTAGTCCCTCCAGCTCGAGAGTATTGTTCTGCGGTCTGACACCCACACCCACACCAGCCTCTACCGCCGCCTGAACCCTGCCTCCCACCTCTCCTCTCGGTGTGCTGCCTCCGCTGCCTTCTGCCAGGCTGCAGGATGGCAAAGCTTCCATCATAGGAGACAGCTTGCGTCCATCCGTGTGTTTTGCAACCGGATGCAGCTCTCCTTCTCCGACATCCCCGCTTGCCCTCGGATCAATCCACGCACTGCTGCCCTTCAGCCCATCCTCGCCCGCACTCCACCGTTAGTGGTGGCGTAGCTACGAGCGGCCGTATTTTGGCAAAGCCTGCCCGACTCCCTGAGTGCTGTATTCCGGCCAGCCGAGAGGACATTCGCCGACTGCAGCATAATGGAACGCATAGCGTTGAATTTTTTTTTTTTTTTTCTCTTTTGGTGTAAAATAATTGTTCTAGTCATTCCCCCACGAATAGCGCTCGGGTAGCGCACGAATAGCGCTCGAGAACACCCTGTAGATCGATCTAAGAACATTAATCTGATTAGTCACCTTTTCCCTCGTCATGCGCGCGCCGATGCGGAGGGACGCTGACGCTGATGAGACGCGTAAAAAAACAAAAACATGTCATGTGGTTGGGCTTTAATCGTTAGCTATTTCAGTGTAGACAACTTAGTCGCCGTGGAATAGACCGATTGAGGAGAAGCGACGGGCCGTTATTTCGTTAATATACGAGGGCGATTAAAATTATCCATAATCTGGCTATATAATTTATCTTCGTCAAACCCTTTTGATGGCCAAGCCTGTTACAGGTTATTGCAAAGACAAATCCTTGGCTCATTTCCAAATGATTTGTTACATCCTCCACTGCCACTCGTCCAGCCGGAAGAATCAGTTTATTTATTAATTTATTTATTAGTACTTTGAAGGCCCTGGAACAGGGCAGTATACAAGGGTGGGCAGCTCATATTTGTAGGTCAATAAAAAAAAAGCATAAACACTCATGAACAACAAAACAGAAAGCATCAACAAAACATAAAAAATATGACAAAAAGACATTAAAAATACTATAGTCCGTTGTGGATTACAAAAATTCACCTAGAATTTTTTTAATACGTCTAGATTGCTAGTTGTAACTATGTTCTCGGGTGAAACGTTCCATTCAAAAATTGTGAAAGGTATGAAAGGTTCGCGTGCATGCTCAATGTCGTCATCAGTCGTGGTCGCGGACAAGCGTCGGGCCCCTTCTTTATGTCTGACACGTCCTTCTTAACTAATGTTTCTATTCAAACAAGCTACTTTGTAAAAAAGCGCTTTGCAAGTCTTCGATAAATATCGGCCTCAGACATACCCTCAGACCACAGGCGCAATGACTTGCGGGAATCAGAATTCGGCAGCTATTGTTTCTCACACCTCAGTTACAACTAAACTGACTGTTCAAACAGCAGTGACTGGAGAGACAGCGACCTCGTACAAAAAGCGAAGATAGCGCAAATTGATTATTTTTAAATACTAAAAAAACAAAATTCGTAGTCGTTTCATCGGCAAACCAAGCAAATAATAGCACAATTGAACTGAGATTTGAAGGTACCACAATTGAAGGGTGAATAACCACAAATTTATGGGAGTTTTGTTTAACGAGCATTTAAATTGGACATACCATGTAAAGGCTGCAAGAAGTAGAATCTCAAAATCAATAGGCTTACTTTCATCTGCTAAACATATATTTCAAGAATGGCTAAAGCGTCCACCTGTATTACACCTTAATAGATTCAAAACTGTATTACTGCTTCGTTTTGTGGGGTCAGACAACAAAAACAAATATTTAAAACCTCCATCTTTTGCACAAAAAAAAAATAAAGAGACTGTGCGTATAATACAAAATTCTGACTATGACGCGCATACCTTCCCAATCTTCAAACACCATCAAATATTCAATGCTTACCAACTGTACACATAAAAATTTTCAATCTACACTTTTCAGGACTCGAGACTTTCACGACCAACGTATCCTTCATTTTGCATTCGACCAGACCATCGCTATGACACGCGGCATGATAAGTACATGCTTCCTAAAATTAGGACAAACATATAACCACACAAACACTGGCGTATCAAATCCCGAACTATTTAAACACGTGTAGTGACCTTCAAAAACATATCACCACCTAGTATTTAAAAAAAAACTAATTTAAATGCATGCTGAAAGAAACCTTGATAGGAATAGAACCACAGAGAAAAACTCAAATCGAAACTGTTTGGTTTAAATTCTTCGTCTGCGATTTGTTATTCACAAATTTTATTTGTAATTTTTATTTGCTGTTGTAATGCTGAAAAATGTGATTTTATCAGAGCGTTTTTGATATTTTATTTTGTTGTAGACAGTAACTATTCTCGTATTTCTACTATAAAGCGGTATCGAGGTTTTGTGAGACCATATGGTCTTTTGCCTTGATGCTCCAGAGATTCAGTATTGTGTAGAAGTGAATAAAAAAAAAATAAAAAAAAGGTGCAGCCAACAGAAGTTTTACGACAACTGAAGAGCGGTTAATTTTAAATGACCCTCGTACTATATCAGGAATAAATGAGAGGTTACAATTGAACCTTAAGGGCCGTCAAAACTCAAATGATAGGAGTGCTACGTGCTGCCGTTCCACTTGAATTAAGTGGGATCAGAAAGAGTTCGTCTATGCAAAACCACGAGCTATAACCTTGTGCACTTACCTTCTAGACTCCTGGAGTATCGTGGGCTCGTCGGCAGAAATAAATATATAAGCCGATTGATCGCAGAGTGATATAGCGCCTGGTGTGAGCTCAGTGTCGGAGCAGCACACGAAGTTGATTATCACGGAAGAAGAAAGCGGATATTTGTGCGCCTTACACGCGCGGTGGGAGTCGCAGTCACATCTCACGTCTTTTTTTCTACCCGATGTCCCGCATGTGACCCCAGCCATCCAGCCACTGCGTGACCGCACGGCCTGACGAAAGCGTGCAGTTCGAACTGAGACCCGACGCAGTCGCCCTCTTGGCGAACGACACCCTGGTCGTACGGGCAGGAGACAGGACGCTGCGCGAGCTCTCTTCGGAAGAAGCTTTGGAGCGACTGGAGGTGCTTTCGGGCGACCCAGGAGAGCGGCTTTGCCTGGAGTACACAGGGAGCGACCCCAAGTCCTTCTTTCACGTCCCCTTCAGAAAGATAGCTCGAAGTAAGATGCACACTCCGCATACGCGGCCTTTTGGGTATCCTCATCTAACGACGCTGCGGGTGGCAGTTGTAGGAGACTTTTAGTCATCATGACGAGTAATTTTCTTACCGTCAGTGCGCGTTCCGCGTAATACTATTCGAGGCAGCTGTGACTGGAAGCAACCTAGGGGTTCTTCGAGGCCTTTTGGTGTTCGCTGTTTCTGGCCCACCGTGTTCTGAGGCCGACAGGACACGACCCTAAGAAAAGTGCGAAGAACTGCCCCCTCAAAGAAAGAATAACTACACGGGGAAATCAAAATAGCGTTTTGGAGGCTTTGACTACCCCATGGCCAGCCGTGACTTCCCCACCATTGTAGATTGACCACCTGTATCCGGATGACGGGGGAATGGTCACTTCTGAATCGGATATTCAAGGCCAGGCAATAGCACACAGTAACTTGGGTAACCCCAGTCAGGTTCTTGTTGTCGCGAAAATACCGAATTATACAAAGGCGGATTGTTGAAGTTAAAATTAATACGTATAGGTTTATTCAATTTTGTTCCAAGATATTAAGCTAAATTAGGTATTCATTTCGTAAGGGAGAACGGGCACCTCCCGTCCGCATCGGGCGCTGTCTCGTGGTCGTCTTTCGGGCGAAGGGGTTTCTTGGCGAGCCGCAGCCCGACGCCTTGCTCCTCTCGCCTCGGAATTCGCCGGGTTCACGTAAACCGGGGGGGGGGGGGGGGGGGGGGGGGGGGGGGGGCGATTTCGGGGGCTACATGGAGGTGCAATGGGAAAGTCGTGCCTGGACAAAAACTTGGACGGTCCGCCTCGGCCCGATCGGTGGTACACACGGCAGAGACGTCGCGCCACTGGAACTCCCTAACACTCTAACGTGTGCTTTTTTTTTTTACAACGCTGGCTTTTACGGGCTCGTCCCCCCAGTTTCGCGACGGCGTGAGCGTAAACGAATTCAGTTTTCCCGCTAAATTTAGCGGAAAAATTTATGTCACGTGACCTATGCACCAATTTGGTTTCCACGCTAAATTTGGCCGGAAAATCGATGTCACGTCACCTGAAATCATGGCCTGACCTAATTCAGTTTCCCCGCTAAATTTGATGGGAAAATTGATGTAATGGGACCTGACGTCACGGCACCTACAAACTCAGGTTCTCCGCTAAATTTGGCGGAAAAATTTGCCGACGATATGACGATCTCCATCGACATATGATTTGCACATGCATGCTTGCTGTGTGCTAGGTTACCAAGCTTTTTTGTGTCTGTCTATCCCCACCCCTGCCTTGGTTGCCAACAAGCGGCTGGCAGTATTGCCGCCCGCAGGGTCGATAAAGAAAGGCTCGGTCACGGACTTCTAGACGACTCGCGTTCATTCTCGCACCAGAGGTAACTTTCCTCCTGCTTATTGTACTCGAAAGTGCCAGTTCATCCTCGCCCCGAGCGCGCGGCGCTCGAACTTTCTTTGCCGAACTTTCGAGATAGTGACGCATGGTAGATAAGCAGCTGCCCGTGACCTTGTCGAGTCAGTCTCGCTAGCGCTCTGTAGTGCCGCCGAATCGCCGGCCGTTTTTCTGCCGCCTCGACGCTCTTTCGTTACTTATTTTTGTTTGGCACAAGTTCGCCAATTAAACCTTTATATTTCAGTTCACTGTTCGGCTTCTCGTCACCTTCCTTCGTGATATTTCTGGTGGAGGTGCGGGGTACGACACCCGTGCAGCGTACCCTTACAAGAACTCGATCAGCAAGCCCCGTTTCCCGACGAGCTTCCGTTGAAGACTCGGAGCATCGTGCCAGCCGCCGTCTTCAGGGGAAAGCTCCTGAACTCGGACCACTTTTGGCGAGGACAAGGCAAGCGATAACGACGATGGCTTCCTCGACGGCGCAGACCACAGCAGCACCCCCCCGTAGTTTACCTGCCCGTCGCCCCTCGGACTCTGACGCCTTTCCATGGGGAGATCCACGAGGACGTCGAGGACTGGATCCAACACTACGAGCGCGTGGCACGCCATAAAGGATGGACCGCCGAGCAGCACCTGCAGAACCTCTACTTTTCGTTGAAGGGTACTGCGAGGCACTGGTTCGAGAACCACGAGGCTGCGCTCACGTCGTGGGATGCCTGCGTCACCGAGATGAAGCGGGCATTCATGAATCATCATCGCATATATGCAGCGGACCGAAGACCTTCTCCAGGCGAGGACTCAAGGCCGCAACGAAACGGTCACCAGTTTCGTTGAAGACATCCTCCGCCTGAGCAGCCGCGCCGACCCGCAAGCCACTGACCAGAAAAAGTCGCGCTTCCTTATGAGGGGCTTTAGGAGCGAAGTCTTCGGCGGACTTATTCGCAACCCCCCGACGACCGTGGAAGAATTTGTTGCCGAAGCGACGAACATCGAGCGGGCGCTAATGGCCCGAGCGCGCCACTACGATCGGCTCAACGACGCTTCGACTCTGGCATCGGCAAGCTCCGAGTTCAGCACCAGCACCGACGAGCTTCGCGAGATGATCCGTCAAGTCGTTCGCGAAGAACCCAAGAAACTGCTGCCTGCTGCCGTCCCCCCGGCGTCGCTGTCCATCGCCGAAGTTGTGAGGAACGAGCTTGAGAGAGCCATCGAACCACGGGCTCCTGTCAAGCCCGCTCCGCTCGAGCAACCGACGGTGAGCTACGCCGCCATGGCCCGACGACCTCCACCTGCTGCCCGTCAACCTCCTGCGCCACGACGACGGGACACCAGCACAGCAGTATTCCCGACGTCTCGACGATCGACCTCAGTACGTCCGGCAAGAACAACCGGCGCCCAGGAAGACCGACGTGTGGCGAACGGCCGATCGACGCCTGCTGTGTTACCATTGCGGGGAAGCCGACCATGTCTACTGCCGTTGCCCGTACCGGCAGCTGGGGCTACGCGGCTTCCACCCCGACAACCTGCGACCGCGATACGGAGAGCGACCTAGGGACATCGACGAATACCTCCGCCGTTCGCCATCCCCAGGACCGTCTCCCCGCTGCGGTTTCCGATCGCCGTCACCGCAACACCCTGCATCGCCTCAGCGTAAATCTCGCCGAGAAAGCCTGTCCCCCCTGCCTCGCCTAAAAAACGTAAGTGCGGCAATGCCGGGAGGTAGTATTGCCGAGGATCAACGACGCCAATATCCTCCACAAACGTCGGAGGGCTCCCCCACTAGCGACGACACTCATCAGAGCGAAGCTTCTGCGACGGTGTCCAATAACCTGGACGTAATCATCGACGTCCACGACGCGAAGGCGCTCATCGACTCCGGAGCAGACTATTCGGTTTTAAGTGAGAAGCTCCCTCGCCGCCTTCGGAAGGTGATGATTCCGTGGGATTGCCCGAAAATACGAACCGCCGGCGGACATCTTATCACACCAGTGGGAAGGTGTTGTAGAGGCTTGCAGCGACAGCATCGTCTTCCCCGCAACACGCTCCCTCGAGCCGCGGAGGAGGCTGGCACGCACCGGGGATGCCCGACACCAGCTCGGTGGCCCGGTTGCGGTCCAGACGGCCAGACCTCCATGAAAGTAGACTAAGCAACTCAAGTCGCCCCCACGGCAAGAGAGGAGAAAGAAGAAGAGGGGCAGACGCCTTGCGGGAAGCGCCCGGTTTGGACGCATGGACATTCCTCGTAGTTTTAATGTCGTCATTCTTGTGTAGTCCCTCAGAAAAATAAAACGAGTTCAGTAGAACATTATTTGAATCTACAGTGTACTGCGCGCGTGGACATGCATGCGGAGACCTGTCCCGTGAAATTCGTCGTCCTCAAAGACCGTTCGAGAGACGTCATCCTTGGCATGGACTTCCTCTGTGAGTACGGTGCCGTGATCGACCTCGGAGCAAACAGGCTGACGTTGCGAAAGCCCGTTATACCTCTCGAGGGATCCAACACGACGCCTGCCGCCGCCCGAGTCATTGCGGACCACGTGAACCTGCCACCACGGTCGAGTGTTGTGCCCATCGTGACCCATGCAGTTGCCAGCGGGAAAGTCCTTCTGGAAGGCAACGTCCAATTGCTTCTTGGAAGAGGAAGAGGCGTCGCGAGGGGCGTAGCGGAGCTGCGGGATGGACGTTCTGTGGTCCTTCGGACGAACTTTCGACCGGAGGCGCAGCTCCTCACGAAAGGTGCCACTGTAGGACACGTCGAGGAACTCCGGGCCGACGCCGAAATCGCTGCGATCTCCGACGAGTCCTCGCCATGCCAGCCGTACAGTACACCGCCACCGCAGCTCGACGTTAACCCCAAGCTCAGTGCCACAGAACGACGACGGCTCGGAGACCTCCTCGCCGAGTTCGGCGACTGATTTACGACGACGTCGAAAGTGTGCCAGACAACAGTTGAAAAAAGTGAAAGCCGTTTACAACTCCCTGTAACGCCGAATTAGAGCGCAGCTCTTGAGGAGGAGGAGGGAAGGGTACTGGGGGGGGGGGGTTCAAGTGACCTTGGGTGGGGGTCACGTGACCTAGGGGGGTCACGTGACGATGCCGATGCCGATGACGTCATCAGTAACGATGACGATGCGGATACCGATGACGTCATCAGTGACGTCACTGATGACATCATCAGTGATGATGACAATGACGATGCGGATGCCGGCGACGTCATCAGTGACGATGACGATGACGATGCGGATGCCGGTGACGTCATCAGTGACGCCACTGATGACGTCATCAGCGATGATGACGATGACGATGCGGATGCCGGTGACATCATCAGTGACGTCACTGATGACGTCATCAGTGATGATGACAATGACGATGCGGATGCCGGTGACGTCATCAGTGACGTCACTGATGACATCATCAGTGATGATGACGCTGACGATACAGATGCCGGTGACGTCATCAGTGACGTCACTGATGACGTCATCGGGGGTCACGTAACCCCGGGGTCACGTGACTTTGGGTGTCACGTGCCCTCGGGGGTCACGTGACCCTGGGGGAGGGGTCACGTGACCTTGGGGTGACCTTGGGGTGTCACGTGACCTTGA